CCAAGGGAGTCCTATCCTTAGTACACACGTCAGGAGCTTCCTAGAGGGGATCTGGAGGAGATACACAAGTAGGTCCTCATCCATACCACACAAGTCGTGCTGAAGTAGAATTATGTGTGTGTGTGTGTGTGAGTGAGTTGGGAAAATACACACACACACACACACACACACACACACACACACAATATAAATCACAAACGCCAAACCAATTGAGAGGAAAAAAAGAGGATAAATTACCTTCCCTTCACCCTGTCTTCAAACTATCACAGAGAGCTTGGTGAGTAGTATGACAAAAACAACAACAAAAACAACAACATAGTGTATACTTAATTTCACCAAAACAAGTTACCCAGAATAAACCACTAGGAGTGAACTCAAGTCTGATTTAAGGTGATTTACGCTGTTTTAATCTGGAACTTCAACCTTTGTTAGATTTTTACAGAGAACGTAAACACACACACACGGAGCCAATCTCAGCAAGCTGGGGTAAATTCATAAATCAGTTCTGAAACCCATAGCGGAAATATATGCTGTAGGGTCAACAGAGGGGAGGGGGAAGGGACGGCGTGAAGGGGGTGGGGGAGGGGAGGGGAAGGGGACGGCGTGGAAGGGGGTGGGGGGAGGGGAGAGGGGGAAGGAAGAGAGAAGGGGGAGGTGAGGAGGAGGGATTGTTTATCTTGTCCCAGCTTATTTCTTCCGCGTCCGACCTATTCATTTCTCAGCTTCGCTTAACACTGGACACGACATGTTTGTAGTAGACCCTGGCAATGGTAGGGGGGGGGGGCAGGAGAGGAGGAGGGAGGAGGTGGAGGAGGAGGGGGGGGTGGAGGAGGAGGAGGGGGGCGAGGTGGAGGGTGAGGAGGGGGGCGAGGTGGAGGAGTGAGGAAGGGAGGTGAGGTGGAGGAGTGAGGAAGGGGGCGAGGTGGAGGGGTGAGGGATAAGGCGGAGGGGGTGGGTGGGGTGGAGATGTACCTTTTTTCCTGACTTGTTTTATTTTATTATTGTTGTCAGTAATGTCTCTGTTTGTGGGTGTCTGTATAAGCGTTGAGAAAGTGTTTTTTTAACTGTCTATCTATCTATCTATCTATCTGTCTGTCTGTCTGTCTGTCTGTACGTGGGTTGGGACTTCTCTCTCTCTCTAATCCTTCTCCTGTTATCACCTCAACCTCCCACTTATCTCACCTCCGCCCTAAATTAACCCCCAAAACTTGAGTCTTATCAACGAACATACGCCTTGTTGATCCGCAGCAAAAATCTAATAAAAAAAAAAAATTACACAGAAATTATCCACTTAAGAATAATATTTCTCATATCACAGGTGACCTTTGATCCCTGACCCCCCCCCCCTCCCCCCCAGGAAACCACATACACAACTTGAGTGTGTTAATGGGCATGTTTGGACCCTTTGACGACGATGATTAAACCCTTTGAGGATGATGATTTAACCCTTTGAGAACGGCCCTTTCAGGAAGCTGATTTTACCCTTGAAGGACGATGTTTTAACCCTTTCACGACGATGATTTAACCCATCAAGGACGATGTTTTAACCATTTCACAACAATGATTTAACCATTTGAGGACGATGTTTTAACCAATTAACAGACAAATACAAAAAAAAAGATATACAGGTAAAAAGACAGATATACATACAGAAGGACAGGTAACCGGACGGACAGACAAATACAGAAAGACAGATATTCACACATAAATAGACAGACAAACAGACAAGCTGACAGATAGTTAGACAGCCATAAAGACAAGCAAACATAGAGACAGACAGACAGACAGACAGACGGGAGTACCTACACACATAAGGCACGGTTGACATCAAACTGGATCGCACAAGCTGACATCTTTACGGGAGAAAAAGATCAATTTAATCACTACCACACACTACACCAGGGCCCACCACGGTACATCTGTGGGTCAACTGGGGGAGAGAGAGAGAGCACTCCTCCGACTTCTTACTCTCGAGTCACAGGTCACACAGTAGCGTGGCCCTCAGAGGAAGATTCCATTTTTCAACAGCCGAGTACTCTCTCTCTCTCTCTCTCACACACAAATACTCTCTCTCTCTCTCTCACACACACAAATACTCTCTCTCTCAAAGTACCGTATTGCTCAGTGAAAAAAATAGACGTACTGACGCCCCCCCCTCCCCCCTTTCTTAATAATATATGCACTAGCACTATTTTACGTCGTGTTCTTGTTGACTAAAACAGTATTATTTGTGTCGTGTTGTGCGTCGCTCTCGCTTGATGTTGAAACTCCCTGGAAGAAAGGTATGTGCAGAAGGATTTTTTGTCTTTATAAATGAGCAAGAAACTTTATATTCGAGTTCTTATTACCCCTCCCTCCCTCCCTCTACCCCCATCCTCCAACCTCCCCACCACCTCCGTCACCACCCGCCCTCAAAGAAAAGAACAAAAAGAAGAAGAATTTTATGCGTGATTGAAGGGTGGAAAGGAGTGACAGCATCGGGTAATATATGACATGGAAAATGGTGGGATAGACTTGCCAGAAATATCGACACTGAGGGAGATAAAGAGATGGTTAATGGTGACTATCGTTCTCTGATGGTGTCGTCTAGGAGGAAGGCAAACAAGGTGAAATTATGTAACGATCTACGTGTATGGTACAGGAAATAGATGCCAATAACTGCATCATCATCATCAACACTGGTGAATATTTTGGTGATTATGTTACGTCCTCTCTGTCTGTATGTCTGTCTGTCTCACACGCACACGCACACGCACACACACACACACACACACACACACACACACACACACTTTCACCATACAAATCACCCCACCAGTTCTTGCATTTACCGCGAAGTCAAGAAACATAAAGAGTTCAACACATTGGCCATATCTCCCACACACTCACCTCTAAGTCTCCCTTAAGATGGTGGTAATTGCCCCAGTAACTCGAGGCTCCACACCAGCGCCCAACACCCGCACGCTACCTTAAGAGCGACCGACAAATACCCTGATACATAATCTTGAACTATGAGGTTACTGTGGCTTAGCTTTTTCTTGCCGTTAAACCTCAGTAATCCCCCTGCTAGATCCGGCCATCAGCGGCAGAACGCTAAGTAAATTAAGGAAGATATATACAACTTCTTCCACAGTATGAGGGCTGGGTGGGCTGGTGGGTGGGCAGGGGTGGGCAGGAAGGGCAACGATCGGTGAGGAAGGGTGGGCAATCCGGTTACTGAACAATGTTGGTATCTTATGCAGTCAAGAGGAGAATTCGGCAGAACTTCTTTTACCTTTAAGACAATTTCGTTTAGGGTTGTGTTGTAGTGACTGAATTCTGGTCCATCTTCTGGTATTGTGCTTGATTTTTTTTATGTTGTATTTTCTTTCTCTCTCTCTCTCTCCTTCGCTCTATCTGTCAATCTGTTTGTTCTCTCAATCTCACTCTGTCTGTATGCCTGTGTTTCCTTCTCTCTCCCCCTCTCTCTCCCATTTTCATTTTCGCTCTCTATCTTTCCCTCCTCCTCCTCCTATCCCTCTCTCCCTCTCCCTCACCCCACCCCCTTGACGGCAAAGCTTGGCCCCCTTCCCTCGACCACTACAGGAGGGGATGAAGGATACTAGATGGGGCATTCGGCTTCGTGGATAGTTAGGGAATAGTTTTGTGGTAGACGCGAGTAAAGAATGGCTGTATCCTCTGCCCTTGGCGTGATGTAAGAGTGATTATGTCTCTTGTTGGGAATTGTTGGAGGAGTGTGGTGAGGGACTAAGGGGGAGGTGAGGAGAAGAAGAGAATGATGGAGGAGGAGGGGAAAAAAGAGGAGGATGAAGATGAAAGAGTGGGAAGAAGATGAGGAGGAAGACGTCAAAGGAAGAAGGGAAGATAGAAGAGGAGGAGGTCAGGGGAAGATGGGAAAATGGTGGAGGAGGAGGAGGGGTTCAAGAGAAGGAGAGGGGAAAATGAATGAAGAAGAGGAAGGAGAAGAGAAAAAATAATTTGAAGTCCATCAAAACACCTACACCACTAGACTTGTGTGTGTATGTGTGTGTGTGTGAGTGTGTGTTTGCAAATAAATGTTCTGAATGTTCATATATCATATCTACCTCTCACACCCCCCCCCCCCAAAACAAAAATATTTACCCCCAGTTAAAATCCTCACTAGAGCACCATAAAAAAAATAATTATTTAAAGGCAATTTTATGATTCACTCTCAATAAATCCTAAATTCACCCAGTCAATCCCTTGATAAACAAAAAATATAAGAAAAAATCCTCCGTCACAAGCAACACCATAAATCACTGTCCCCTGTTTAAAAAAAAATTACCACTTGACAGCACATCGAATAAATCACGGTAATTGGATAAAAAAACCACATCTTCTGAACAGTGAATCAAAACGTAACGATGTCTTAGATAAATTATGGAAAACATCTGAAAAAGGGAAAAATGGGTGAAATAAAGAAAAAATCACGTGTTTAAAGAGAAGACAAGGAAGAAAAAAAAGAAGAAAGCAGAAAGCAATAAATCAAACCAGCACTAACGAATACATGGAAGAAGAAAATAAAAGAAGAAAAGTAGAAAAATTATACAACAATAAATAAGACAAAGATTAAATAAGAAGTAAAAGAAAATAATCCTAAATGTTCTTCTGATTTAAATAATATAATGGTATTTCTTAAATGCATAATAAGGGTGGCTGACATGGTAACTGTGTCTCTCCTGAACATAATCGATTACCAAAAGTAAAACATTATGAAGTAGTCTTTTTATTTATCTTAATTATTATATACCAAAAGAAAAAAAAAGTCTGTAAATAAAAGCATAAGTTTCGGGACAAAAAAATACCCTGACCTGGCGTCACCATAAACTAACACTCATGGAAGAAAGAAATTCTACCCATAGTACAACTTTATGGGGCAGCCTCATAACGACTACCTCCCCCACCCGCCCCTCCACAAGCTGCAAGATTTTGGTGTCGAACACGATAAAAGTCTCATGAGCTTCCTCCTTCATACAAACTTGTGGTATAACTTAATCGTTGTATAATCTTCGGTAGTTCACAGCTCAAGTTTCCGAAGGTGACGGAGATCCTGGCAACAATCTCTTTGGTGGTGAAGTTGTGAGCTGTCGGCTGAGGATATGTAAAAGAGGAGACCTTACGCCCAAGTCCCTACCAAGTTCCTTCATGCCCTGCTGCACCAGGAACGAAATATTTAGCGCCTCTTCTCACGCAAGGGATCGTGGAGGAGAAGAGGTCCTGAGGCGTGAAATCCTTCTGGTAGCAGCCGTTGAAGGACGGCGGGTGGTCCTTGTTGCGTGTGGGAAGATTCCGAGACGGTGACGGCTCTTGAATATCAAGCCTTCCTGCCCTCGGCCCCTTCGACCAGGAGTAAATTCATGTTATTTTTACCCCGATAAGGAATCAGAGCTGCAGACAACATCGCCATGTCGTGTAATTTTACAAATGTTCTTTTCCCCAGACACAACGTGTTCCCATGTGGACGCTGATCCGCCCTCCAGATAGTGTCACATCCTCTCACGGGCAGCCTAACTGCTGACAACTCCCTCCCTCACCCTATACACATACACGTCATCTCCCTCCACACGCAAACACACTCCACTCGTGTAGACATTCCCCTCTCCCCCAACACACAGATATCCACCTGTCTTCCCCTCCACCCGCTGACATCCCACTCTCAATATTCTACACCCCTTCTCTGGTACACGCACATACCTTTCTTCGTAACATATAAACTGACGCCCCTCCTCCTCCTACACACTCATACATTCATCTCGTTGTTTCTTCTCATAAACGCACAGACAGTAATCCACCCAACACCAAGACCTCTCCCACAGCTCCCTCAAATCCCCAGTACACGACCAGGACCGCCCCCCAGCAGAGAGGGCGTTGAGGCACCCCGCCGGGCCCTTGTCGACGTTCACGGCCCACACCCCTCACTCTCCTTGATGTAATATTCACAACTCGGGACGCTCCTGCCCGGACTGATCCTCACCACATATTGCCTCTCGCGCTCCTCACCTTCCCGTCAACATCTTAACTTTTCGTATCAATGGTCGGGGGGAGATTACCCGGATTATTGGATCCTGAAACGAATATCAACACTGACGGAGGTGTTATATGAGGGCTGACTCGTGGCGCGGTACAGTATACTGCTCTCACCGTGACTCGTGGCGCGGTACAGTATTCTGCTCTCACCGTGACTTCTGGCGCGGTACAGTATACTGCTCTCACCGTGACTCGTGGGGCGGTACACTATATCTCTCACCATAACATGTTGATAGCGACAGAATTATTGCTTGCAACATCATATCGATCTCAAATTAATTACGAATATTGAATGTAGTCAAATGTCTGTAACTCCTCGACTCATGACTTAACCTAACCTAACCTAACCTAACCTAACCTAACTTAACTTAACCTAACCTAATCTATCCTCGACTCATAATGTGAAGGTAGCGACTTAATAACACGCGCTTTGGTAAGTATCACACACCAAGACGATCTGTGGGTAGCTGTAATGACTCGAGACTTCAGCGACATTGTGTTATTACGCGATATATTGGAAGGATATTTAAACGTAATGTCACAAGGTTGTGAACTTCAAATTAAAATTAAAATGGTGGTAACTGGGTTATACACGTTAATCCTTGTTCACATACTGATATAATTTGGTAATACAGCCCAGGTAGGCACAGCTGGTAGGTACCATCTGTGGGAGAGATGGTCGCTGGCCTCATGTAACATGTACTAACCACAGCCTAAATCCCTCCCTTATTCCCCATACCTCCCATTCTCACCTTTTTTCCATCTCCCCCGTGTTAAGTTTTAATGCGTCTTATCCAGGGAGGGGCGCTAAGCCGTTTTCTTTCAATCCCGGCGGTGAGATGAGAGGGTTTCGGCCGTCAGCGGAGGGGGGACTCCTCTACACATCATCAGACACCCTTTCAAGGTGTAACTTGAGAAAGCTACGTTTACTGACGTTAGTCTTTCAAGATTAGCAAATAAATTTGTTCTTGATTGGCTCTGTTACCTTGTTATAGAGGACTTGTTCAGTTTATGTATCTTCTTTTATACGTAGTTTTGTTAAGTAAAATACGAATTTGCATCTCAAAACAAAAATGTAGAATCAATTTTTTTTCCTACAGGGCGTAACAGACATAAAACGAAAATAATAATGAAACAAGCATTCTACTGCATATTTATACAATCTTATCGCCGCCGTCACTGAAGAAAAAGACTGAATGGGAAGAAATAAAACCGTCAGGAGTTTTGTTATAAAGAACCTGCATGACAACTGCCTGGCAACCTCTAATATTCTTTCATAACTCGGCTTCATAACACTCACGATCATAATTTATCTCGGCTGCCTCTTAAAGTCGGGACCACTACCTCGTGACGCACCAGAGGTTGATATAAGATTTTTTTTAATGGCCACCAAATTTCCATCATAAATCGCTTAAGGTGTCTGGGTAAAATACCATGATAGGGAGTCAAAGTTAACATGATAATATTTCTGTGTGAAGGAGATGTTTCTAGCGTGTCTGAGTGCCTGGAAAATCTGGCATGATGCTAATTACTTGCCATAAAGACACACTATATGTCTTCTTCAGAATTCCTCGACTGTGGTTCTGCACACGCACACACACACACACTACTGGCCTACTGTAAATCCCCAAAACCATCCCTTAAAAATCAGTAATTAACTTTAGAGGCGTAATAACATTCCTGCTAAGGTGGATAACTTATAACATGACGGCACCAAGTTCAAGTCTACCCGTTTGTAATTGCTTCCTCTTTTAATTTTAATTAAAAACAATAATTATTCTTCTTTAAAAATGAAGGTGGTTGAAGTACTCTAAATAACTATCAGGAAAAGGCGAAGTGAGTTATTTTTTTTTATTATACGACTGTGTCCACCTCACCTGTACCCCACCTCACCTGTCCCCCACCTCACCTGTCCCCACCTCACTTGTCCCCCACCTTACCTGTCCCCCACCACCTGTCCCCCACCTCACCTGTCCCCACCTCACCTGTCCCCACCTCACTTGTCCCCACCTCACCTGTCCCCCCACCTCACCTGTCCCCCACCTCACCTGTCCCCCACCTCACGCCCACCACCTCACCTGTCCCCCACCTCACCTGTCCCCCACCTCACCTGTCCCCCATCTCACCTGTCCCCCACCTCAACAGTGTCTTGTTTCAGCTTATTTTAATATAATCTATGAGAAACAGTCAGTGTTCACCACCTATATACCAAGGTAATACTGCCTAATTTTAGAGTTAAATTTTCTTGACTGCGGCGACCACCCCACCAGTATTACCACTCCATTTCCATATACCTCATCCTCGACCATCCAAGAGCACAACCCTCCAAGAACAAGTGGTGTTGTGGCCATAGTGGAAGGTTGTACTGTAACCCCTGGAAGGTAGACACTCGCCAGTTTATTGATTTAGTGGACGGAGCCCGCTTCATAAGGTGTTTATTGCAGGGCCTCGCGTCATCACCCACTATTTAGTGTAATTCAAGGTTTTACGGTTCCCGCTGATTGTACAGAGGCGCCGCTTGTCAGCTCGACCAAGGAGACGAACATTGCAACTCTGGCTGACGGTGGCTGACGCTTTTGTGTGTGTGTGTGTGTGTGTGTGTGTGTGAACAAAAATGACCCCCAGTATGTGTGAGATTACTTAGTGTGAGAGCAGGGAACCATATTGAGTGCGGAGGACAGAAATTACCTCTAGTTAGCGTGCAAAACCTATATTGAGTGCAAGAACAGATATTGCCTCGAGGAAATGAGTGAGACCAATGTTAAGTGTGACAGCAGTAATTACCTCGTATAAGTAAGTGTGTAAGAAATTGATAAGTGCGTCACCAGGAGTTATTGCAAGTGTGTGCGAAAGATGAGAGAGAGAGAGAGAGAGAGGTGGGAGGGAGGGGGGGCAGATCTTATTTTTTTTCCGTCAATATACTAACTTGAACGTCGACTTATTGAATACTGAAAGAACACAAACACAAACACACACACACACACACACAAACACACACACACACACACACTCTCAACACACCAACACACACAAAAACAACAACAGTCTCTCCTCACTATAAGAAAACGTTTACCACTCTTCAATATCGGCTTTTGAGAGATAACAATAAGTTGAGAGAATAAGAGGCAGCGTTTCCCCTCCCCTCCTCTCCTCCTCCTCCTCTTATTCTTCCTCTTCTCCTCCCCTTTTATGGAACCCAATATGAGCGTCGTCTTATCCAACTCTTGTATATAAGGATTGTGTTTTTTTAAGTCATTCCTACTTTTTTCATTTCTTTTTTCTTCTTCGTCTTTTCATTAATTCATTTTTATTCTCATTAATATTCTCTTCCTCTTATTTGTCTTTCCAAATTGAATTACAAATCGTCTTTCTGTGGTAGAGAATTTCCACGATTAAAGATGCTTATTCTCACCCTCCCTCACCAGCACTCTCCCACCACCTCACACCACCACCACCCTCACCACCCACCCTCACCCCCTCACCACCACCACCACCCCTCCCACCACCACCTCCTCACCCACCACTCTCACCTCCCTCACCACCACTCTCACCACCACTCACCACCCTCTCACCACCACCACTCTCACTCACCACCACCACCACCTCACCTCACCACCACTCTCACCACCACCACTCTCGCACCACCACCACTCACTCACCCCACCACCACCCCACCACCACACCTCCCTCACCACCACTCTCACCTCCCCACCACCACTCACCTCAACCACCACCTCCACCATCCCTCACCACCACACCACCCCACCACCACTCTCACCCTCTCACCACCCTCACCTCACCACCACCACTCCTCACCACCACTCTCACCATCCCTCACCACCACTCTCACCACCACACCCCCCACCACCACTCTCACCTCCCCCACCACCACCTCACCTCCCTCACCCCCTCACCTCCCTCACACACCACTCTCACCTCCCACCACACCACCACTCTCCCTCACCACCACCTCACTCTCCCTCACCACCACTCTCCACCACCTCCCCACCACCACCTCACCTCCCCACCACTCACTCTCCCTCACCACCACTCTCCCTCCCCACCACCACTCTCACCTCCTCACCACTCCACCACCACTCTCCCTCACCACCACTCTCACCTCACCACCACTCTCACCCTCACCACCTCCCTCAACACCACTCACTCTCCTCACCACCACCTCCACACCACCACTCACACTCCCTCACCACTCACCACCACTCTCCCTCACCACCCTCTCACCTCCTCAACCACCACTCTCACCTCCTCACCACACCTCCCTCACCACCACTCTCACTCTCACCACCACT